GGTCGTTTACACGGGGCGCGGGGGCCGGAGGAGGCGCGAGAAACAACGAAACGCGTGTGACACGGCACGGCACGGCACGGCAGTCGGCAGTGTCGGCACCCTCGGCCCGTCCCGTCCGTCGCGCTCACGCGGCCGGGAACGCGCGCACCGACGAGGCACAGGGAGGCGGCGCCAACCACCCGCGTGTTCACGGGCGACGAGCGTCGCCGTCGTCGCCGCCGCACCGTTCGACCGACGGTACGACGCACAAATGACGAGCCGCGCGGCGAGACCAGGCGAGCCGCGGCGCGATGGCAGTGTCCTTTAACCGGTACCTGCCGGTGATCCTGCCGGAGGTCGACGACAGCGGGCCCGGCGGCGCCGTCGCCGCGGCCGACGTACGCGCCTCGTACGCCACGGATGAGACCGTCGCGAGGAGCGGCTCGACCAGCACCACCACCATCGGCGGCGGCGGCGGATCGGCAACGACGACGACGACGACGACGACGACGACCTCCGTAGCGACGCCGGCGGTCACGGTGACGAAATCGGCGGTCACGGTGCCGTTGTGCGTCCTGGGCGAGGTGCAGCTGCGCTTCCTCTGCCCCGACGACCTGGAGGAGGTGCGCTCGCTCTGCCAAGACTGGTTCCCCATAGGTGAGAGGGCTGGACTTGTTCCTGCCGTTTGTTCAAAGAGCGACGTTCTCGCTGAAATTTTCAACATTTCCTCTCTCGGCGAGCAGCTCTCACTCTCCGACTGGCGAAGATGTAAATAGTTTGACGGGGGAAGAGAACGAGTTTGTTGTATGGAGAAACTGCATGTCTCGAGTTTCAAAGTAAATGTTTGCGAGGCAGAGGGGACGCGCGCTCTTGAATCGAAACAGCTTTGTTAAACCTTAAAATTGTATCATCTTAGCATTTCGTTAGAGACGTATCTTCTTCTTTTTGTTTACATTTTTCTAACCTAAACCTGCAGGGACTCGGTAATTTCATGCGAAACGTTGCGCTTCAGCTATCAGTAAGACAGAGCTGACGATGAATCTCTTATCCGCGCAGATTATCCTTACTCGTGGTACGAAGACATCACAAGCTCGTCGAGGTTCTACGCGCTCGCGGCAGTCTACGGCGGCGTGATAATAGGGCTGATCGTCGCTGAGATAAAGCCCTACGCCAGGCTGAACAAGGAGGACCGCGGCATCTTGTGCTCCAGCCTGGGCAAGAACTGCCTGGTGGGCTACATACTCAGCCTGGGGGTGCGTCGCGCCTACAGGAGAAACGGCATCGCCTCGCTGCTGCTGGAGCAGCTGCTCGCCCACGTCACCGCGCCCGAACGTTCCTCCGTAAAGGCAGTCTTCCTACACGTGCTCTCCAGCAACGCTCCCGCTATATTGTTTTATCAGAGGTGCCACTTCCGGCTGCACAGCTTCCTACCGTACTACTACTCGATCCGGGGCAAGTGCAAGGACGGCTTCACGTACGTCCTCTACGTCAACGGCGGCCACGCGCCCTGGGGCATCTGGGACTGGGTGCGTCACCTGGCCGGCGCGATGACCAGCCTCGTGCCGTGCAGGGTGCCGCGGTGGATCTGGCAGCGTCTCTTGTGGGCGACCACCGTTCTCTCTTACCACAGATGATACATTTTGTGATTTGTTATGTTCCATTACGTATTTATTTTCCTCCTTTGGATTCTAGAGATGTTATAGAGTGTGCAAAGTGCCATGCGCTGGTCGACGTTACGAGCGGGTTCGCGTAGACGGCCACGGCGCGGCCGTACCATTTTATCGCGTAGTTCTGCGTGCCGATGCAAAGTTAGAAGAAAGGAAAAAACATGGACGCTGGATGCTACGATTCGATTTACGTAACGCGAACGGATATTAAAGTTTGTCGAAAGTTCGGGCAGCGAGGCTTCAGAGTACCTTAGCACGGCTTCTGTTATCAAGAATTGCTAGTTGTTGAACACATACCGTTATAATACTATTGTAATAATACTATAGTTCGCATGTAACTGCCAAAAATAATTAAGTTGAGATTTTTGCATAATATCTAATATATATATATATATATATATCTTCCATTGTTTCGAAAGATTTATAATGTTAAATCGTTGTTAATTTTAACGAAGGCACAAAATTCCAGATTATACTTCACCATTTTTTTACTCGAGGATTCGCGTAACGTTTTACCTAATTTAGGACGTGTATCGAAACTTTCTCAGATTTGTAATCTTCAATTTTCTACCAGGAAGTCCGGAAATTGAAAATCGTAGAGCGAATTATGATTTTTTAAAGTAAAAATGATTTAAAAGACTGCGTCGTTACGATTCATACTTTGTATACCTCTGCTGCCATCGATTGTATAATATATGTATAAACTGTGTATATATTTTGTATATTAAATAAACACTTAATATCTTAACATGAAATAACGGGAGTAAGACGGACTGATGATTCATCCTGACGGATTGTCTTAAACTGCAGTGGAATATGTTTATACCGCAGGAATTATTTTAAAAAACGCGTCAATAATATGGTCCAGCTATAATGCGACTTGTGGGCATTTAAGGTCGTTCCACATTGATCCAATCGAGATAATGGATCTCCAGGTATTCTCGCATGTCCATGAATAAGACAAAATTAGTTTACATATGACAGAGTAGACAGCCATTTTTTCTCCGTGGTATAAATTTAAGCGCACTTAAAACTTGTAACATGAAAAATAGCGGTGTGTCGTAACTTGTGTATAGCTAAACTGCCAATTAGCATTTTACGAATGATGTAGAAATCTGTTAGCAATTTTTTTTAAATACAATTTTGAATATCTATATTGCGCAATTATTTCTCTATTTTATTGAAACAGGGTGAATCTTGTTTCAATAAAGTCTCTAGATTACAAGGAATTATTAAAGGAAAAACACACGTTTATAAAAATTAATAATTTATCGCGAACGACTTCAAGATACTATTTTACATAGTTCTATCGTATTTAACATAATTTACATTGACATGTGTATAAGTGCAGTTACACATACGCACTTTTACATTTCATTGCATTCTTGCATTCAATTCTCAATATTTACAAGGAAAGTGATTATTCTAATAAACGTGTAAAAAAATAAAGTTTTTATTTTAAACGATACGCGAAAACAAATTATGCGCTTTCTTCAAATACACATCAAACTCACGAGCAGTTTTATCATTCATTACATTAGTCATAATATTTTTGCTGTCGGATAATGTGTATGCAATACTGCAGCAACGAGCGAATACTGTAATAACTACCTGATTATGTATCTCGAAAATTAATCTTGAAGTAGTGGTGCATTGAGAGAAAAACAAAAGGTTAAATAAAACAATATCTAACGTAAAGAATTGACGCCAGTACGCGATCAACCAATGTAGAAAAATTGTTAAACGATGCTAACTGACAAATTGTAATTAAAGAAATTTATTGCAAAAAATATCTCGGCTAGGTTTGAACCTGGACTTCCATTCAAGTCAAACAAATGCATATTTCGAACAATTACCCACGTTTAACTGAAAATGTACGATATATATACGAGTTAAAGAAATACCAGCAACTAACTACATATTTAGTAATATCAATAGCATTTTCTTAGTGGCTCTGTGACTCCTCTTTAGTGTTGAAGGGGCAGCTTTGCTTTCTACTTTCGGGTTAGTAGCAAAGCTGCAAAGGTGTTAAAGGCAAGAGGTGGGCTGTCCGATCCCAATCGAGAGGTGGCAACTAAATGAATAATTTGTTACTTGGAAAATATTATAGATTACAGCAGACTGATTGAAGATTTGAAGAATTTGAAGTAATTGAGCACGAAGGAATTCTTCTCTTCTTCTTCTTCCTGTATTAGGCTTAAGGGCCCGTTTTATCCGGGTGCTTTGAGCACTGTGAGTGGTGTTCGTGGATTTGACTCGGATCTTGTCGTTCATTTGTTTACTAAGCAGCGCACATTTCTCTGCGCCACATGAAGGGATCAGTCGTACAAAATGCACCAATTGTGAAAGACAAATTACTTTTTAGAAACTAGTGGCGACTGGTTCAACGAGCCGAGGAACCAGGTTGAAATCTTCCCGAAAATTATTTCTTTTTACTCAGTTCTTCACCTCTCTCTTCGGTCGCCACGGGATTAGAGGCGACCCACCGAGAGTAACTTGATTTAAACACCTCTACAAGCTCCTTACTAACATGGGAGTAAAGAATATGCGGGGCTTCTTTAACTTAGGGAGTTACAGAGGAACCTATCCGCAATTTCACTGTTTCAAGACGCAATTTTTCGAGACGTATAAACCAAGTAATATTGTTATTGAAGTAGTGCATCACATTGTTCTCGAAAAAGATTTTTATGTACACATGAATACCTAAACATATGTATATGTACCGTACGGTATGTACAACAGTTATATACACGCATGTACACAACGAGCTAAGTACGTTTAAATTGACTTAGCTTTTCAATCAAGGCGTCCATGTTCAAAGTACCCTGCGAATCGTGCGGCCAATTCCAGACGACTCGCTCCTTAAACGCCTGAACGAAAGTCGCCTCGGCGGCGGTCGGCCTGTTTTGCATGTTATTTCGGACTTCAAACTCCGATTGCTTCGACTCTAAATTATAAACGTAAAATACACCAAACTTCTGGCTGATGTGACGCACCCACGGGTGAGCGGTGCTTCGTATGAACATGACGCTGTTGAACGCCGAGTACACAGGTTCCTTCGCGTCGGTCTCGCTGTCGCATTCCAGCGGACTTTTCGGGAACTCGAACGCAATGGCCAGCTTCACACGGCGCTGCGCCACTCGCAGTCTCTTGTGTATGTCTGGCATTAGCATGAACCTTTCCTTGGCGCGAACGCAAGTGCAGTCGTTCGGGACCGGCTTCCACAGGGCGTCGCAAAACTTTTTTGTGAGCTTATACCTGAAAATATCACACGTCAAAATACTAGTTACATGGATAGGCTGAAAAGTAATGCACGCATGCTTGTAGAACACGAACAAAAACAAATAGCGAGATCGGGTAAAAAGTAACATGATAATCGTCAACTTGCGTTTGTATATTTGAGTTTAAATCAATCTGCACTCGACGGTACGTTATCTTTAACAGACGTTTACATTTGCTTTAATTTAATGCGCAAGGACTACAACAGACTTTGGCAATATTATTCGTTAATACACGTACATACGGATATTACTTTTAATTTGATTCAATTAATGTGTTCAATTAATCATATTACAACGTCAGTAGTTTAGAACGCGTTACTAAAATCTTACAATTTTGCATTACGTTCGAGGAATCATCACGGGAGAAAACACACCTAATCGACAAATACTTCTTGCTCACGTCCTCTCCACCGAGCTTGTAAGCGTCCAAAATGTGCAGCGCGCGCGTCTTCGAGAAATACTTCCCCGTCCACTTAGTCTCGTACACTAGTTCAGCGTACACGAGCGTGTCGGGGGGCAACTCGATCTTCGCTTCTCCCGCCGACTCCCACTTGCCTCTTACGTATCGGTACACCTTTTTTCTTCCCAGGCCCAGGTAGAACGTCGCCAATTTATCGTCCTCCATGTTCGGGCCCGAGCCGCACGGCATGCAATACCAGTCGTACGGCTGATATTGCAATATCGTGCTCTCCACGTTGTCGTCCTTCAATTTCGTCGCTTCGCAACTGAGCAGCGTCACGGACTCGCCCAGTAACTCGTGTATCTTGTCCTGCGGCTTTGACATTTGCGGCCTCACCCTAGTTTGGTCGTGCAAGTTCCAGTGCTTCAGGCACTCCTTCCGCATTTCCGCTTGCTTAATCTCGATCAGTGTCGGATTGTCGCAGAACGCCGCGATTTTCAGAAGATTCACTATCTGCCTCCTTCCAAAATCGTTGTTGGAGTTTCTCAGGTATTCGAAGAACTCTGTGTCCGCCTCCAGCACGTCGAAGGGCACCAGCTCGAGCACGTCGTTGCTCTCGTCTCTCGTGGAGAGCAAGTGATTGACGTGAGAGAGATAATCCATCGTCCCTTGCGTATTGACCCTTTTCCTCTTGCATATTAAGTAACGCTCCGAATTGGCCGGCCTCGAGCTGTTGGGCTTGAAGATGCAGATACTCTCGAAGCACTTATACATCAGGTAGACAAGTCCGGCGCTGAAAGGCGTAAACAAATCGAACAGCTTCGTAACAAAGTGCCCTCCTGGCCTCACTATCATCAGCGCCACCAGGCATTGACACAGATACAATTGCTTCGACAAAATCTCCTGTATATTCTCTTGACCCTCCACCGAGAAGCCTCCGTCCGACATCATAAAGTGCACGCCTTTACCATTGGTGTGCTTCAACACCAGCGCTCGAAACTCCTCTTGATTCTGCGCGTCGAACACGTCTCCGTTGTCCTTGGAGCCGTAAAACGGATGGAAGGTCTCGCAGGGGCCGGCGAAAAACTCGTCCAGCGTGAAGTCGTTCTCGTTTTTCAGAGTGAATCCAAATCCCTTGGCGTGCCACTTCTTCTTGGACAGGACGTACTCGCTGAATCCGCCCGGACCGGCGCACACGTCCGCGAAGTACAGCAGCTCGTTGGGATCAAAGTGCTTCGGCTCGGTGAACATCAAGTCGCACGCTTTATCTATATTCGCCATCTTGACGGCCGCCCGGTTCAGAAAGTTTACAGTGCGTATCGTCTCGTACGGATTCGAGCGCGTTCTCGCTTTACGCAGCTCCACCTTATCGAGTTTATCGAACACGGTCTTACAAGCGAGGATCTGGATCAGGATATCCGGATCGCAAAACATGGTCTCGTCGTGTATGATGTTTTTCTTTGGCCCCAGCTTCATCCACTCCGTCATGTCTTCCATCACGGGCGTATCGGAACGTATGTTTTGCAGCCACTTGATGTCCTCTCGAAAGTCTATCACCTCCTCCTCGGGATTCCACCTGAGACCCGCTTCCTTGAGACCCGGCACGTAATTACCGAATCCCCTTCGACCGCGTTGAGTGGCCGCTTTTACCGGCTCCACGCGACCCTGGTCGTCCTTGCCGAGACCCTTGCCCGGCTTGTATCCCATTTTCCTCATCATTTGCTGAATCTTCTCGGACACGTTGCTTTTGCTGCCATCGATACTCGCGTTGTCTGCAGCTCCACTTTCGTTGATATAGGTTTCTCCCGGAGGTAGGCCAGCGCCGATCGCCTCTCCGCTATTCAATTTCATCCTCTTACTCTGCGATTCGTAAAAATCTTGGAAACCGACCCCATTCTGCTCGCCGAGCGAGTACTCCACGTCGTCCTGATCCATGTTGGCGAATCAATGATATTCAAAGGTAAACGCTCAAAGGCAAACCTTTATCGCCACTCGCTACGTTACGCTCAATGTGAATACAATTTATCTCCAATGCTTCCGATTCACCAATTTCATCAGAAAGTAGTGTTATAGTGGTATCATCTAAAAGATAACGATGTAGTTACAGAAATTGCTTTCGAAATTAAATATATGGCAAATCAATGAAATTCAAAGGTAATCGCTCGAGCAAAGGCTTTATCGCCACTCGCTACGTTTTGCTGAACGATTATAATTCACTTCCAACGCTTCCGATTCACCAATTTCACCGCAAAGCGCTATGGCGGTATCATCCAAGGCTCATATTACATTTGTCGTATGACAAATGTTTTACGCGCGTTGATTGGCTGCAGGATAGCAAAATTCTCGAGCATCTAGAAACTTTCTATTCAGCAGTCAATCGACGCGCTGAAAAATTTGTCTTACGACAAATGTAACGTTAGGCCAAGGCGAGGGGGAAATCGCTGACCAAAATGTTTACACCAATGCCCACTAATGCTCAGTGCTTTAGCTGCTTTCCTTTTACACTCAAGTGATACCGAGTCACTCAGTTATGCGAGCATTTTATACTCAGATACGACGTCATTAATGTGAGTCTATTGAACTCACTAAAGCACACGGTCTGGATCGTGTGCAAAAACTCAGTTAAATCTGGTTGAATCTCACCTCTCAAGAATCAAAAGGAACATGCATTCGACTGAGTTGTGACGTCACAAGTGAGATTTATCTAAGGCTGCGTTCGGGGAGACGCTATTAGCGCTGAAAACGTCAGTCTATCTTCGTCACTCACTGTATGTCGAACAAAGATAGAAGATGTTTTTAGCGCCGAAAGCGCGCTTCCCGAACGCACCTTAGGTTTTCATGTAAAAGGAAAGAAACTTGTATCTTATTTTATCTCTATAAAATCCCAGCAAGACCTAATGCCCAAAAATGCCGCAAATCTGTACACCACAATGTCCTCAGCGATTTCCCCCTCGGACCAAGGCAACGATCTAGTTATAGAATTTGCTTGCGAAATTCAATGTACGGCAAATCAATGGGATTCAAAGGTAACCGCTCAAGCGAAGGCAAAGGGCTTTATCGCCACTCGCTACGTTCTGCTGAATGTGATTATAATCTATCTCCAACGCTACCGATTCACCAATCTCATCGGAATGCAGTGTTACAGCGGTAACATCTAAGGCAACACAATCCAGTTACAGAATTTGCTCTTGAAATTAAATACATAAAAAGGGAAAAGGAGGAAGACGCGAGGATGATACGCACCTTTACCCATGTAGTTTGTAACAAACGTTTTTTGACGTTTGCAAAACGTCTTCTAATCAAGTTTCCTTTTCCTAACCTGTAAAGTCAAAAACATTAATTGCAAGTTCGAAGCTGTTGGGGAAAACTTAACACGAGGCGTTCGCGTAGTTTTACATCGCGGTCAAATCTGTGACGATTACAGAGTGAAAGAGAGATATAATACTTGGCGACGGCAGGAAAAACGACGGTTGAAAGGTTTGAGGTGCTTATGCGCGCGTCCGCTTAAAAGTATTTTTTAAAAAACGTACATCTTAACGCAACGTATGCTCACTGAGATAGAAACAATAATAAAGTCTATTACGGTCCGGTATTTGGCGACAATTTATTCACATTAATGACATCTTTCTCTCTCATAAATATTTCTCTTTCGCGTCCTGTTCGGAATAACAAACCACGCACAGAACAAGACTACCACCGTGAGCTTAGCTTCCACCATAGACATCGTAGCATACTAGACAGGGGGGCTCTGGTTTATTAGTCCCAGTCTACAATAGAGATTTAAGCCCTAAGCCTTACCCCTGGTCCACAATCTTGCTTTAAGTAAGTTGTAAGCCTTAAGCCGTAAGAAATTAACCAATCACAGGTGAGAGTGAGGGGAATAAATGCCTGCGATTGGTTAATTTCTTACGGCTTAAGGCTTACAACTTACTTAAAGCAAGATTGTGGACCAGGGATTAAGAAATTGACTAATCACAGTCGCGCATTCTACTCATACTTGACCGTGATTGGCCAATTTCTTAAAGCTTAGGGCTTAAATCATCTATTGTAGACTGGGAC